CCGATACTTGGTCACAGGTCACAGATCGACCAACACAGACTACCCAGCCACAAAACACACGACTGAACCCCAACATCGATTGATCCACCACCACCAAAAGCCAACCACAACCACCACCGCCAGCCAACAATAGATCCACCACCACCAACGGCCAACCACAACCACCACCGCCGACCAACAACAATAGATCCACCAACCCCAACAACAATAGACCAACCCCAGAATCGCAGCAGCTGCTGCTCCACCGCAAACCACCACCCACAGCAGTGTCGTGACAGACGCTGCTGTGGGGTCGTAGCAGCGAAGTGCTGCTGCTGCGAAGCGCATCAGCGCTGCTGCGATTGGCAGCAAAGAGGGGATGGGTGGGGTGGGGTGGGGTGTGGCGGCGCCGGCGAGGCGGAGAGAAGAGAGGGGAGGGCTCCGGCGCCGGCGAGGCAGAGAGAGAAAGAGAGGGGAAGGGGAAGGAATTAGGATTAAAGAGTATTTATATCACCTGATTTTTGAATAATAAAACTTGGTGCCTGAATTTTGAATTCCATTCTTTAAACACTTGAATTATTATAATACACCTGAATTATTATAATTTCCCCTCAAAATATTCGAAATGGCCCAGTGAGCCGGCCTGCTTCACAGTATCCTTATTTTCACCCAATTGCCCATGTACGAATTGGGTTACACCTGTCAACCCAACAACCCTCTTAACCTCGCTTTTTCTGGTAAAAGCGGTTGCACAAAAGAAACTGAACACACGCTTTCCTGTTTCTTTGTCATAAATCTGTATTTTTTTACCAGATGATATCGAAGACTGTATTAAGTAAAGTTTTGAATCAAATTGAAGGAAATTCACGGTGTTTCAAGGGGGAAGCAATGGATCTAAGACCCATATCATATTAGAATCAATAGTATGTCGACTCAACTCAATTTTATGATTATCATTATGTACTTGTAAATTCTTGTTTTGAGATATTTGTAGAAAGGCTGGACCTTTAAATCGATATTCAAATTGATTATCAGCTCGTATTAGGGCTTATGTCATTTGGTTTCTGCTAATGATTTGGGTAATTTAACATAGGAGGCTGAACTACTAAAAACTCCTCGCAATGGATTATGGCAATGGCTGTTTCTTGTCCAATATGGATTTTCCAATTGTTTTTCTCCTACTGGTTGTTGGTACCACCACCTTAATTATACTTCGGGTTATTTACATTATATACTGGAGCAGCAAACCAGTTTATACTAGATCACCAGGACCCCTCAGCACACTTATTGTTCTGGGCTCAGGTATAGAAATTCGCCTGTTTCTTTATTGTTCATATTTCAAGTTTGATTCCCGTCTTCGAATAGAAGTTGATCGAACAATTAAATTAGATCCCTTATCTTCCAATATAGAGGCCCCAATTCTAGGAAACTGGAGACAGAATCTGAGAGTTTCTTTTTGTTGTTTTTTACTCCATCATAAATTTTGGTGTTATTTGATCCTAATGTAGGTGGGCATACTGCAGAGATGCTAAATTTGTTGGCAGTGTTACAGAAAGAAAGGTTTAAGCCAAGATATTATGTTGCTGCTGCAACTGATAATATGAGTCTTCAAAAGGCTCGTGTACTTGAGGATTCCTTGATGGATGAGGTATATCATGTTCTATATTTCTTAGACTCTGATACTGTGGATCTATAGGAGTCTCAGAGTTGTGAAAATTAAAACTTATTAGTCAGTAATGGATGTCTGGGCAGAGAATTTATGGAATTTGCATGCCAGTATTAGGTTGCCTAAGTTTGTTCAACAAAAACTTGATAATGAAAAAAGCAAAGTAGTTCTATATCAAAAAAGCATTTTTGTTTAAACTGGAAGAAGGTATTATAGGTCAGTGGAATCATATGCAAAAGTCATGATTTCTTCTTCTGGTTTATAGAATCTAAGAAACAGAGATTAATCTATCCTTGAATCTTGAACGATAAACAAACACAGAAATTTTCATACTCTCAGAATTCATGTTACAATTATATGGTTAGATCACAAAGGATCCATCCAACGGGTGAACTCACAGTTTGTTAATCAAGAATGCAAGCAAGTGTTGTTTTAATTACAGCAGTACTTCGTCTCTGAAATTCTATGATACTAAGCTCTGTATAGAAAAACTCAGCGATTCTGGAATGATTCTCACAAGTGAATTACAATGGAAGTAAGTTTTTTACCTTACGGTTAGCATCCTTTCAAAACCAAGACTTTAAATGCAACAGAAAACAATGACCCTTTACTGTACACCTTCGCCCGAGTTTTATGTCGAGATGTCAGAACTAGCCTTTTCAGTGCACATCTTGTTTTTTGTTAATAAGTTTTGATTGTATCTTATAACTCGTGTATTTGGGGAGTTATATCTGATCTGAAGGATCTATGGCTGTGATGAGTGTCATATTGTATTGTACATGGGGATGACAAGCTCATCCATGTATAGAGTTGCATAGATTACTTTTGGCAACTGCACACGTTGTCATATCCCCCCTTCAACTTTGAAGTGTTTAGTTTGCTTTCAATTTCCTTCAGGCAACTGACACATTGAGAAAGCAAAGAAACGAATCGAGAAAATAGAAATGAAGGGAAAATTTTGCAAGCAAAACTTATACTTCGTTTCCTTAAAATAATTGTCAACTTGGCCTGAATTTTATGTATTCTGAAAATGGGTTTTTTCTTGATTTAGATAGGCGTTGACATGGTAGAAACTGCTCATTTCATGCAAATATATAGGAGCAGAGAGGTTGGTCAATCGTACATAACTTCTATTGGAACAACCTTGATTGCTATTGCGCATGCATTGTGGCTAATGGCTAAGATGCGGCCCCAAGTGGTATTGTACTGTCCTTTTTGTTGTTTCAAATTTTGTTTCTTTTCTATATCAGTACTGACTGCTATATTCTTTTCCCAGATTTTGTGCAATGGCCCCGGAACTTGTATACCCATATGTGCAATTTCATTTGTTTTCAAGGTTTGAATGAATTAACTCCAGTGTCCATTTAATTTCTTAGAGGCCATTGCACATTGCAAAAGTTAATTCTCATACCGACTCCCTTAAGTTTGGGAACATCTCATTATTACTACTCAATTTAAAATTCGTCTTTCAGGTTTTTGGGATTAGGTGGTCATCCATCTTCTATGTTGAGAGCATAGCTAGAGTGAAGAGGCTATCTTTGAGTGGATTGCTTCTTTACAAACTACACATGGCTGATCAGTTATTTGTGCAATGGCCACAACTAAAAACGAAGTACCCTCGAGCCAATTACGTTGGTCGTCTTATGTAGCTGGTTTACTTTATACACCTGCTGCACCTGTTCTTCTGTATCATAGCATAATATTTAACCCATGGAAGGTATTAATTATTTTCCAGAAGTTATCGACACACATCTAATAAAGATTCATAATACTTTGAAACAAAGTTGGATAGGATTTGGAGCAATCTCTACCTTTTTGGTAGAATTTATCATAAATTTTCGTAGTTCTTGGAGCAATCTCCACACCTTTTTAGTTGTTGACCTGATTTATTCCAATTGTACAATATTTCGTTATTTCTCAAAATGTTAATTTTAAGTACTGACGGTTACCAGTTTCTCCCTGAAAGATCCTTTTTCTTGGATGGGTTCTTCAGTTCCTAACATAAGATGGAGTCTTAAGATTCCATCTTAAATTGTTAATCTTGTTAAGAAGAATAACTCAAGTCTGTATAAATTGAATCTTGTAGGTAATACAACTGAAATGCTGTCAAGAACAAGTGACTCAGGTTCCAGAAAATTAATAAATGACACATTTTCCATACAAAAAAGGCTTTAGCAACTAAAATGTAATTGTTTCTACATTTTCTTCTCATCATTGATTCACAACAGTGGGGATTTACGAGGGAGAATGTGCAAAGGGAAAGGGGAAATAAAAGAATCAAGCGTGGAAGTCCACATTCTGTGACTGCTATTTTTCTCTGTCAAAATCTGGACACATTCTGGGACTGAATTGCCGCAATTGTAAGTGATGTTCCACAAAATTGTTTGAAACATTAGCCACACGAACTAGGTCTGAAAGCAAGACCTTCTCATTCTAAATTGTCCGTGAATATTCTACTATCAAGAAATATTTTTACTGAGAGTCTACCACTTGATTTTTCAGACCTGGAGAAACCATATTGTGCTTTTCGGAGTTAAAAGCCATGTAGTATAAAGCATAGTCCACAATATGAAAAAGAATTTATGTGAACATAGAATAGAAAACACAATTAAATTAACAATGTCGCGCTTTTGGTTTCTAAAATCGGTGAAAGTGTGCTGCATGTGCAGTTTAAAGTAAAAATGGCATTAAAGAACTTACTGATTAATGAGGAATCTGAAGAAGAATGAAGGAAATGCAATATAAACATGCAGAAATGGCTGCTCCAGCAACAAAATTGTTAAGTAGCTTTCGGTCGTCTCTTGTGGGTATGAAAGCTGACTTCAACGTGTTGGTCAGTTCGAAAATCCGATATGATATCTGCAGTGGTAAAAGAAAATAACAGATGAATTGCAGAAAAAAAAAATTAATAATTTATTCATTTCCAAGATGAACAGATGATTTACTCACCAAGATGTAAATGGAAGTTGTGAGCATGAAATTAAGCAAAGGATACTCTGGGATGAAAGAGAGTAGCCATTTGGGTTGCCCATTAGGCATATTTGATCTGCGCATGAGATAGCTGACATCAATTTAGCTTTAATTGTATTTTCATATTGGTCAGAAAAACATGGACACTTATAATAATTGAAATCTTATGGATATCACATTCTCCTTACAATATCATCATATAAGTTTAAGACACGTCTGAATTTTCAAGTCATACACAAATGGAGATGATTGACACCAGGAAGTGTATTTATATTAAGAGATTGTTTGGGAATGATTTCATAAAAATCATTTTTCCCCAAAATCATGGAATCATAACCGTTCCCTGCTTTTTAACCACACATTTAAAAAAAAAAAAAAAAATTGAAAAAATCTCTCTCAAACAAGCACTAAGTCTACACGCATGTGTGCAGATGGTTTACATGTGCAAGCATTACAGGTAAAAAAAACATCAGCATTTCAAAACTAGTGTAAACCAAAAAAAGAAAAAAAAAAGTAAGTGCACCCACCTCAGCCAGATATGGAACTGAGAAATATAGGTTTCCAAAGTAACTTTGCCAAGCCACCTGATAGCACAGATCATTTGTACTATTAAAGCAACATGAATATAATATTCAAATGAGCTTTCGCAAAAAACTAACAATTCGTGCAATTGAATGAGAAATTTAACTAAATTACTTAAATGAGGAAACAATACAAAAACTTACGCAAAAAGGGTCAAAGAAAAATTCCGGATATGCTGACTGAAATTCCGCAAACATATATAAACGCTGTAGTAGAAAGAAGGCAAATGAGAAAGGAGACATATTAGATAGAAACTTTGGGAAGCACTGTCTTGAAGCAATGTTAAGACTTTCTAAAAACTTTTTCCTTCCCCAATAAGAACAGGATGACATTGGAAATGAAGAACTTGGATTTAAATCAAGACTCAATTTCAGTACACACGTTATGGGTATCCATGATGTGTAGGGATGAAACTTGTTGTATGTAACCTTGTCCATCTTGTATATACCTTCATACCACAAATAGCCAACCTAAGAAAGAATAGCTAGAAATCAAATATGAAACAAATAAGCTATCATTTTATCATTTCAATACAAGCAGATATCAGTTAACTAACGACCTTAGTCGGTTAACTTACAATCAAGGCCAGTGCAACAATGGAAGTTTTGATTGTGCGTCTACGCTTGGTTTCAGACTCCTCCAGTTTCTCCATCCACTTTTCAACCTGCAATGACATAATCCCTCAAATTTTAATGTTCAGTGCATAAGACATAACTGCAGAAGTTCAAAAGTTAGAGATAGTACAGTGGGGTGGAAATAGGCATAGATCATTCCTATGATCCAAATGTAGCGATCAAGCCCAGATCTAAAGTGCCATTCATGCAGTCGAGGAATATCTGGCTTTGCAGGATCAGTATACCCTATAGTTGAGAAAACAAATGTGAGGTATTTAAAGATAAAAAATTTATTGAAATACAAGTTGACTCTCTCTCTCTCTCTTCATTCTTGAAGTTCCGCTACAACTTCACAGCTCCCCCCAAAAAAGGAAGAGAAGGGTGTACGTAAGTGTTTATATAAATTAAACTATTAAAGTGAGTAATCAAATTTGATTTTGGATGCTTATAGTGACACCTAACTGTTCCAAGGCTAACTATGGTATAAAAGTACAATCCACCCATAGAGGGCAGAGAAAGCGAAAAGACAAAAGATGGAGAGTGTTCACTCTAAGTTCCTTAAAAACCGCATTACAGGAAAGGTCCATAGAAAAATTTGGTTTACAAAGTTAAAAATGACAAATAAATAAAACTCCAGGAATGTAACAAGGCTACATAAGTCACTTACCTAAGAAAAAAGTGAAAGGACTCCAGACAAGCTCAAAGACACCTGGGATTTCCCATATCAAGATGACCACAATAAAGCACATAAAAAATTTCAAAGCCATCACTGATTTTATCTCGTTATAGTTATGGCCAATACCAAGGGCCCCGTACACCATGAGAGTGAAGAGCGTGTGCATTGGGCAGATATAGTACAGCATGTAGTCATTGTTAAGAACAATACAGCAGAAGGCCACAAAAAAGTTAAGCCTCCACATCATCTGCAAAGAGGAAACAATCTAAAATTAGAACCCTGAGAGAGATTAAAACATGTGAAAGGTATATTCAAATTCTGTTGTTCGAGGGGCAAAGAAAAACAAAATGATAAAAATTTTAGACTTGCCTGAGTAAATCGAGCAAGACTAAAATCCTTTCTGATGTAATAATAGGAGAAGTTTCCAAAACCAGTCATCCAGACATACGCAGCAATAAAAATACGAATTGCATTGTATATCTCAGTTGCAGCAAAGTAATGATACATCAAAAATAGAACCTGACAGGAACATGAAAAGAAAAGCATATAATCTCATAAACTTTGTGGGTAGAGAGAATACACTAGGCAGTAGCCAATATAGGCAGTAAAATATCAACTGCAGACATTCAGTATCTGCAGAAATGCAGAAAAAATCCTTAACTTCCACCCAAAAAAGAATGTCATAAAATGTCATGAGATAACTTATGGAGCAAATAAACAAGAGTACACAAATATGCAACAAAGGCATGAGTACAATGTACGCATTTTTTCTGTCTGGGTGGAATGGGGAAGGATGCTATGAAAGAAGCATCAGTATTAAAATATTTCTCCTATCAATATCCTAAGCATTAACTGAATACAGGAATGCTTAATGAAAAAAAAATCCTTGCCTGCATCCATCCCTTCCACTCTTCTGTCTGATGGCGATTAAGATACAATATGGCTTTTCCAGAAAATGCTGACTTGTCATGGTGTTTCTTGAGAGAAGTCATTGCTGAAGCTATGATAAGAATTATGTATAGGAAAAGGAAAAGATCACGGTTGTAGCTCTGCTCAAGAGGGAGGAAAAAGGCAACAAAATAAATTAGTATAATGCATTTGAGAAACTCTATTTTAATAAAAATTAGACAACATCTGTTAGGCACGATATTGAAAAATAAATCTCACAGAAAAGAAAGAAACGGTTGGGAATAAGGCCTAATAATAATATACTTTTGCAGGCTTTATTCTACAATACTAAAGTACTCTTTCCATCCCAGATCAAAGTCAACTTTCAGGAAACCAACTTGTTATGAATAGTGTTTTGATTCTGATGGTAGCTATTTGTAGTCCAAATTTACTTTAGAATAAGGCGCTTAAAAAATTAAGAAAATGATGGCATGGACATCAATTTTTGGAATAATGAATTAAAATAACAAAGGGTACCATGGCTATTCTGAAGTTGGACTCAAATAATGGGACTTCCAACATTGAAGGCATGGCACTAACAATGGTATGGAAAGAGTATAAGAGGTTGCATTATGCTTTACACTGAGCAACCCCAGCAAGCTATATGCCAGAGGAATTCGTTCCAGTTGGAGAAGTGTTGCAGGGACCCATGATAGTTAGCAAGAGAATATACTAAAAGACCAAATCAAAACGTTAGTTGCAGTACAAATTCTTAGCTCTTACCCCCAAGCGCATTTCCAGAGTGAGTTACGAGTATACAACAAGAGTACAACTCATTTAGTTACTCTTTTATCACAAAGTCCAGTATTTAGATATATCATTGGCAAAAAGATAATCCACGAAATGCTAATGGTCAAAATAGTTATATGCATTACCATTGCAACATGTAAGTCTTGTATATAGATATGAAGAAAAGTAGTTCACAGCGAATTATCCAAGGAAAGGTTCATAAATTATGACTTTAGAAAGAACTAAGAGAAAGAGCACCTTGGTGGAATCTGCAAAAAAATTTGTACGGTCACATATGTAGTAGTAGAACAGAATAACCCCTATTTCGGACCTACACAAAATTGTGATATCAGTTATAAAAAGAATGAAGTAGAATCTTTAAGAAACTACAGTAATAAATATCATAAAACTCACATAGCTCTTAATAGTGCTCGATTTTCAAGTAAAAATGAGTCCTCCATTGTAATAAATCTAGAAGTCAAGAGGAGTATAAAGTAAGAAATACTACAAAAACAAAAGTGAAAAAGAAATCCATAAATAGACGCTATAAGTAACAGCGCATCAACCTAATTAAGTTGGTTTTAACGGATGGAGTGGACAACTTCGCAGATGCAGATTTTGCAAGACCTCCTTCTAACAACACTGCCTTATCATCTTCCTTGATTGTTTCATTCTCCAGTTCAGACAGATTATTATCTGAATGACTGCAGCCCAGAAATGTAAAGCATAGAGTAAGGGGATATATAATTCATAATCTTGTAAATTTCACATAACGTCGAAGTACTTTTGGGACATAAAGAAAGAGGTAAAGCATGGGAGAACTGCAGGGTGATGCTCACACTTTAGACGGGGATGGTGACTTCTTATATTCCAACCACTCAGAGTATATCCATGCAACAATGACTGGAACGATTCCAAGCAGAAATGACACCTGGGGCATGAGAAGAAAAGGTTTCACTATATATATACTGCAAGTATTTTGAGAAAATAGTAATAACATGTAAGCAGGGTACAAAAAGATCAAAAGAAAATAAACTAAATAAGTAAGCAGACACTGTAGAAAATGACAAAGTAAATATATTGCTAGAGGACTTAGCGGATCTTGAAAAAGACATTTTATCACAAAGGACTATGGAAAGTGAAGGCTGAACTCAGTTAACCTTTTCCATTTTCTTTCCTGTTTGTAATGAAAATTTCCAACCGACATGGAAACATTAAGACATCTGCAAGAGGCTATTAAAGCAAAAGAACTGAGACCATGGTCAGGGTGATCCACAGCTGACAGCTCTTTTTGGCATAAAGACAAGTGCTCATATTAGATGATTTAATAGATTTCGGATTTATTTACATTCCACTGGAGAAGCCAACTTTAGAGATAAAATCTGATGGTTAAGTCCTATTGTATAGTTACCTGCCAAAACCTCATTTACTTCTTGTATAACTAAATTTGGGAGATAAATATCTTAAAGTGGATTTTACGATGTTGTCCAAAATCAGATGGATGTTTACAGCCTAAATTTATGCTCATTCTGTCAACATTTGAATAAATTCTCAACTTAAATATGGTATCCTTCTCCGGGAATTAAAAACTCATTCAATTAGAATATTCTCCAGAAATGTGATCAAAGAAAAGCAACTTCCCAGGTCATTGCCGTAGCTTGTAGGTTCTAATCATTAATTACTTTTAAGTGATATACATCATAGATTCTTTAATTGAAAATTATATTTAAATTTAGTTTCTTATATTTTAAACCCATTTTCAAGTTGGAACATATTAAGAACAGGATGAATACTAAAAACCAGTATATGAATTATACAAGATTGGATGCAGTACTAATCTCTCTAGAGTACTAGTTCTGTCTTCACCCAGCCGAGTTTCTTGCTTTTTAGCTGTTCTATTTGAGGCAATGCTGCGATAACCTCGAGGTCAAATTTCATCCTCTAAGGACAGAATATGCACTAGTACAAGTGTAAAAACAGCTTATAAATAGAATGTACAAACAAAGAGTAAGCAATCAAGTACAGTTCTGCCAAAATACTCACAACTATCGCTAACTCAATTCAATAATAAGCTAATCACAATCGACACTGATCAACAATAACATCAACTGTCACTACTTCTGTTTCAATTATCACATGATATACACCCAAATACATCTCATTCCAATTTGAATAAAGACTGATCAAACGCAAGCCGAAAACAAAATGAATTCCAGAATCCAACTCCAAAGATCTATATGAAAATTGTATCCAAATGATCAAATAAACAGAAAATCAGCAACCCAACAACTTCACTTTCATCCGCATTGCAACAAAAAATGGGTAAATGAATAAATAAAACAAAAAATAAACACTTAAATGGAAAATATTAGCAGAAACCGAACCTGTCCAGGGGTCACAGGTCCGGGAGCCACCGCCATAACGTCAAATCCAATAAATCAACGATCCAAAAAATGTGAATCTAAATAATTCTCATCGATCAACTGAATGAGCACCTATACAATGCATGTATACACGTATATAGAATGGAACTGGAGGGAAATAGGGACAGGACGGGAAGATATAAGAAAGAGTGAGCCCAATAATGGAAGAGGAAATATGAGATCTGAAGCAAGAATGCGACGTCGTCGTTTGCTTCAAGATAATACGCAATTCGGTGGAGATGTCTATTTTCTCAGACCAACCGTCAATGGTGGTTGCCGTTTGGTTTGTGGTGCTTTTCTAGTTGTTATTTTCCTTTCAAAATTATTAAAAATGTTTTATTTTTTATTCAAAATGGCAAGTTTTTTTGTCTAACGAAAAATGGAAACTTTATCTTTGCGCAACATTTATTTTCTACCCTGGTGACGGGTAAAAAATGGAAAATTTGATAATTTAGTGAAGGACCGACAAGAATTTAACAATTGATTCTTAGTATGTATTGACGACAATTGCACTAAGAGATTTAAATTTTATCCTTAACAAGTGGACTCGTTTGAGAATATTAACATTGAATTAATCAAGATTACTCGTTTGAAATATACACACATTAAATTGCTCGTCGGTAAATAAATAATTTGCAATATTACTCAATGGAGTTGTGAGGATCATATAATTGCAATAGAGCATGGGGAAACATAGACGAATGATTGGAATGTCTGATATTTATTCCACCCAAACAATTAATTGGATTATTCCGAACGGAATGAATGGGGCGCGCTTTGGAAGAAACGGTTTGTTATCAAGCCGTCTTATTGATAAAATAAGAACATCTCTCAATGCTTGAAGTTTCTTTAATGGAAACATGACATTAAGCCTCTGTCGACATCCTTAAAATTTTAAAAACATAATTTTGAATAGCATTTTTTTGGATTTACGTATGGAATATTTTATTGCGTGAATGTTTGATTAAAAATGAGTATGAAAAATAAATTAAAGTAAAGTAAAGGATGTCAAGCAGGAAGTAAATTATATGGTGTGCGATAGTCAACTTATAGCATTCCAAGTAAATTGAAAGACTTTCACATTAGTTAATATCTAATAAATAGGCATTCGTGTTTAAAATTGTCCTCGATGCATTCTTTGAATTGTTATCTCAATCATGCTACATGTACACTTTATTTGACATCAAGTTTGATATTGTGCCACATGTTGTGGCATGAATGTACATTTTTAAAATAAAATACAATTTCTCGATCATTTGCATTTGAAAATACATGGAGTGTCAAACTCCATGTCAACCAATTAATGTACAAGAAGCTTTATTCTTGTTATCTAGGTCTTTTTATTTTCTGTCATATCATCTTGACATAGTCTTATGACTTGTATCGATTAGGATATTTGAAAAAAAAAAACGTCTTCTTTTGCTTATTTAGTACAATTTTTTTAAGTAATCCATCGTTGTATTTGAGTTGTCGAAAAATGAAAAATGCATTAAATGTTGACCAACATTAATCACTTCTTTGGTGAAAATTAAAATTAAAATTCAGATTTAAATTTAAATTAAAGCCAATAATGTTATAAAAACGGAGAAAAAGAGAAGTTAATAGACTTGTATATTTTATTGAGAATCAAGAACAGTTTTATAGGGTCTAAAATAAGAGTTACGATTGGAATGAAATAGACTTTCTGAACTAGATAAGACTTATTTATATATTATGATAATACTAAATAATCATCTATAATTATCTCATTATTTTACAACACTCCCCTTTGACTATTGGTATAATAACTACCTCGTTAAAACTTTGTTTGATTAAAACATAATGGAACAAAAAATCAAAACGAAGGAAAAAAAAATACAGTTATTTTAAAGTATTAAATATAAATATTACCTCATTAAAACCTTGTTAGGAAAATCCAGTAGAATAAAACTTAAGTGAAGGAAAAAGAGTACAACTGCTCCCCATGATGCTAATCACTGAAAATCTTTAAATCAACGCATTTCAATCTTGTGAATTAATTTCTTGAATGTAGACGTTGACAATGCTTTTGTAAATAAGTCAGCCACATTGTTACTTGAACGAATTTGTTGAATATTGATATCGCAATTTTTCTGAAGTTCGTGTGTATGAAAGAATTTGGGAGAAATATGTTTCGTCATGTCACCTTTGATATAACCTCATTTGAGTTGTGCAATACACGCAACATTATCTTCATACAAAATTGGTGGACTATCTTTTGTCGAAATTATTCCGCATGATGTTTGGATATGATGGGTCATGTTCCCCAACCATACACATTCTCGGCATGTTTCATGGATTGCAATAATTTCAAAATTATTTGAGAATGTTGCTGTAAATGATTGTTTCACAGATCTATATGATATAACTGTTCGTCCACGTGTAAACACGTATCCTGTT